AGCAAACCTTGTGATGGCTGATATCAGTGTCCGTTCATATTTAGAAATCCCAACAGAGTCCAGCCTGGGTCATGTCCCCATTTCCCCAACTCTCTCAACGGCATTCTTGTCACTCTACATTGTTCTATAAGGAGAGAGAGAAACAATAAAATTGTAAAATGCATTTAAAAAATAATAATAAATTCTGCAATTTGACCATTGTTTACCTATCCAAGATGTGTTGATGAAAATGTGCATGTGTGAGTTGTAGGCATGTGACTGTATTAAACTTTCATATGACCATTATCACAGTATTGAATTAGGTAAGAATTAGGTTAGGTTAAGTGTTGAACACTTAATATCTGTTAATTGTTTTCATATAACAAAAGAAACATTTGAACATTAAAATGCAATAAAACAACACACACTTCAGTCTATGATTAGCTCACATCACCTCTTATCTGACAAGTCTTCGGGTTTGAGTCGTTCGTTCATCACGTGACAGCCCCATACACTTGACTTTAACCAATGCAGTCTGAGCCAGAAAGAGAATTGATTAGTTCATCTCTCGAGTCTTCGGGTTTGAGTCGTTCGTTCATCACGTGACAGCTCCATATGCTTTAACCAATGCTGTCTGAGCCGGAAAGAGAATTGATTAGTTGATTAGTAACCTCTTATATGTGGAGTTATTTCATGACCCATTTAAATTACATTTTATTTATCCCAAATTGTTGTTGTACTCACTGACTCCACCCTAGACTGAAGGATATATTGTGTTTGGACATTTTTTCAGGAACAAGTTTACTTTGTTGTTTGACAAATTGCATAGCCTAATATACATCACCTGTTCTAATATTTCCATTTGCACCATTTTTCATACACCTTCAAACACATTAATGCCACATTTCATTCTTTTACTTTACTTTACTTTACTTTTAGTCATTTAGCAGATGCTTTTATCCAAAGTGACTTACAAATAAGAAAAAGTAATTAAAACTAAACGCTAAAACTCTATAAATACTATATATATACACACATTTAAGAAAATTAAATAAAAATGACAAATGCATACAACAACATTTCAAAACTAAACATTTAAATGAAAACAAAAAAATTAAGTTAAAAACAATTCAAAATATTAAAAGAACAAAAGGTGTGAGTATAATAATGATTCTAACATAACACTAAGCCAAACACCAAAAAACAACTACATGTGTATATACAGCCACACACATATATAAATATGAAGTACTAAAATAACTCAAATTAAATAAAACTAAAACTTAATAAAAAACCTATATGGACATAATAAAAAACTAATAAAATGACAACATTACTACAACTGTAACTAAAACTTAAAATAGATAACTAATACAAATCAAACTACATTCGTTTATCAGTTATCCTAAAAAAAATAACACTGAGCCAAACACACATGCTAAAATAACAACAACTTACTGACATATAGTAAGAACATGTAGGAGAAATAAAAAGCAATACTTATTATATACTATACAGTGGGTACGGAAAGTATTCAGACCCCCTTAAATTTTTCACTCTTTCTTATATTGCAGCCATTTGCTAAAATCATTTAAGTTACTTTTTTTTCCTCATTAATGTATACACAGCACCCCATATTGACAGAAAAACACAGAATTGTTGACATTTTTGCAGATTTATTAAAAAAGAAAAACTGAAATATCACATGGTCCCAAGTATTCAGACCCTTTGCTCAGTATTTAGTAGAAGCACCCTTTTGATCTAATACAGCCATGAGTCTTTTTGGGAAAGATGCAACAAGTTTTTCACACCTGGATTTGGGGATCCTCTGCCATTCCTCCTTGCAGATCCTCTCCAGTTCTGTCAGGTTGGATGGTTAAGGGGGTCTGAATACTTTCCGTACCCACTGTATATACGATACTTATTTATACCATTCTTAAAATTAATTTTTGCCTGCATGGTGGTGATTAGATTCACTGATTTTGACCGCCACCTTGAACTTTGCACAAAAGTGCAGAATGACGTGTCTGGTGTTTCAGACAACCCAACCAGCAAAAACTCAGTTCAGGGAGGTTGCATTCTTAACTTCAGGGTTTTGTTGCAACCTAGCCCAGATCTATAAAGATTAATAATGATTTTTAGATATCTAGCATGTTTAGTACAAATTAAAATGTAAAAAATACTAGGTAGTGAGTTGAGGTAATTTTGATTCACTCCGTTTCATATTTACAGAATTTTGCTTGTTTTTGACAACTTGCTTGTCTCACAGTCTTGTAGATTTTTTTTTTCTGGGTCATCTGTGTGCATGTGTGGATGACATACAGCATGCAAATCCTAGCATCGCCACTTCATCAGTGTTGTTTTGTTGCTGTTGTTATTGTTGTTAACTTTCTGCAGCTGCCTGCACTCCCTGTCTTCATTAGAACAGGACCATCATTAGACCACTCTTTTCATACACACTTTATCATATTTCTTTCGGAACATGCTTCACAACTCCTTGTTCAAGATCTTGTTCTGTCCAGGCTGGACTATTGCAATGCTCTCTTAGCAGGTCTTCCAGCCAGTTCTATCAAACCTTTACAATTAATCCAGAACGCGGCAGCAAGATAATTTTTTAATGAGCCAAAAAGAATGCACGTCACACATCTGTTTATCAATTTGCACTGGCTACCTTAGCTGTTCGCATACAATTCAAGGCATTAATGTTTGCCTACAATACCACCACTGACTCTGCACCCATTTACCTAAATTCATTACTTCAGACTTATGTGTCCTCTAGAAGCTTGCGTTCTGCAAGTGAACATTGCTTTATTGTGCCATCCCAAAGAGGCACAAAATCACCCTCACAGACTTTTAAATTAAATTAACTTAATCATTATTTGTTGTTTTTCATGCAAATAAATGTGTGAAGTTGACCACTCAATCGATGACTCTTTTTTTTTTTTTAGCAAAATGCAAAAGCAGAAACAAATGATTTTGTGACTGAACAGGTGACTACATGAGTCCTTACCAAACAACCATTTATCAGATCAGACTTTAGAATTAACATGGTTACTTACATGTTGACATTATGGTTGCATCCATCTTTCACTAAAAGTGTGTTTATGTGTTTGCAAAGCTTGTGTCCAACTGTTAAAAATAATTTATTCAAGTAATTACTTATCAAGTGCTTTGTTGGAAATAAACAGTGACTAATGTTAGGATCATTCGGAAGCAGAGATGATGGTCTTTCACAAATAAGAGCTGCACATCATTTGGATAACTTAGCAGGCATCTAAATCTATTTTTATTTCAAGTAATCCTGTTGTATCTTTCATTTCTCCAATTTGTGGATGGACCAAAAAGAATTCAACAATTCATTTTGGCAGCTTGGTTTTAATAGACTAATTAGTTTTTGGACTAATAAAAAAAGTTTTTATAGTACAATTACACTATTAAAAAAAATCTGTGACATTTATAGGAAAATACTGGCAAATAAAATGTTTTCACTGTAAATTATACAAGTTGTTCTTTTTCACTTTCAAAAACCATAATGTTAATTATTAAATGTATGGTTAAACCTATTAAAGTTGTTCACTGTGGAAACTTACTGTTAACCAATTAACAGGTTTTTACTGTACCATTTTTACGGTCTTTTACTGTTAAAGTCACAATAATTTTATGTGAAAATCTTATGTAATATCTTATGTGAAAGATCAAGGAAGATTTGATGGTGTTGAGTGATTCCGTGCCTTACAACATTCAGTTCAATTGACCTTCGCATTGAAAAATACTTCAAGGAGCAAAGACAACACTAACAACACGACGACAGACAAGCTAGAACAGTTTACTTTTGGTATGAAACAAAGTGTCAGCTTTCAAATTTTGTCATTTTGTAAGAAATTCAAACAACAGATCCCTGTAGCGTCTCAGTTCAAGCGGCACATGAACCGATCATCTCTTCCTCTTTACTAGTTATAGCATGATATAAACATGAATGAACATCAGAAGGTATCTTGTTTCAACCACGGAAAGACGTCAATACAACGTTTTTCAAGTTCAAGTCCACCTATGTTAATCTACTCTCCTGTCAGGGTTGTTGTCAGACAAAAATGGAGTTATGATTGGTCAGATCGCCTGCCAATCAAGTTTAGACAGTCGGTTGGTCAGACTAGTGTGTTACAATAGCTATAAGGTGAAATAATAGTCCAGTGTGAGACTGAAAAAGTGCAGTGCAGATGAAGAGTTGATTGTGGAGATTGAGTTCACATGTTGTGATGCAGCGATCTAACAATAATTTCTGTGAGTATACAAACATGTTACAGGCCCTTTAAGCCACCACAGTCTTTGCTACTTATTTATATACAGTAGGCAGTCAACCAAAATGCCTATGATTACTGTAAATGGGAAAATTATAAGTAATACAGGCTTAGTTTTCTAACACGTATTTACTTTGCCACTACAGTGTCCACATTAATGTCACAAAATAAAAGGATTGAAATGTATATTTAATAATTCGCTGATGCATTTCAACAGGTCATGCACATACTTATTCATTATTCATCATTTTTGACACAGAGCCCTCCAAGACATGCAGAAATATATAATGTCCATGAATTAAGAAACTGTTAATCGCTTTATATTAAATTGTTCCTTCATATTAGTTAAAATGTGAGCGCACTATAATTATTTGTTCCTATGATTTAATTAAAAAAAAGAAACCAGGTTGGTCAGGGCGAGTTTGTTATTGCATGTGAAAAAAATTAAAATTTTTGTTAGCCATGGGTCACTGCGCCTCCAAGCTTGGCATTTTCAGAAGCACACCTAGCATTTTCAACTGGTTCAAAATGCTTTGGTGGACACAAGGCCTAAATCCATATCAAACTAATAATTTTAAGCAGGCCTATAATTTGTATGTTTTGTTATATATTTGAGAGTACTTTGTTTGTTTGATTATTCATTCATTCATTTATTCATTCATTAATGTATTCATTGTGCTGAACATATTACACATAATTCATATTTTGTGCTTTCTCTCTTAGGGCGTTGCTTTGCATTTCGAGGTGAACGTGGGAACGATGAACCAGCCATTGAAATGATTAAAGTGTCACATCTGAAGTGAGTAACATATGTTTTCCAGTTGCAAACACCTCGGTGAGCACTTAAACATTTTAGTCCCTTTGGTTTCCCTAAACAGTGATTAACGTTTAGTGGTGACAAATACAGACACACACACAGATTATTTTCATGCAGGGCCGGCCCTGGCCAATTTGCTGCCCTAGGCAAGATTGTACCTGGTGCACCTTGCCTCACAGCCCATTCCACCAATAATCATTGTGTTCAAACACAGAAACTGCATAGCTAGATATTTCAAAAGTGCATCTGAAGAGAGAAATGGAGGAGTATATGTGACTATTGGGTGTTACATTTTCTTATTAAAAAGCTGATGATAGTAAAACGGTAACACTTACAATAAGGTATAATTTGTTAACATTAGTGAATGTATTAACTAACTTGAACTAACAATGAACAATACATTTGTAACAGTATTTCATATTTTTGTTAATGTTAGTTATGGAAAATTAACCTTATTTTAAATAGTTTCCAGTGAAACTATAAAAATATAGGTGCTGCTAAGTCACATTATAAATTAAACACAAACAGTATTATAATTGCATCTGGTATTCCTGCACAAAACTAATAGTTTTGTTTGAACACTTCTCTAGCATACAGTAACGTTACTGTTCAATCTTAAAAATAAATTTGAAGTGTTTAATTTCCAGTAGGCAACAATGTTCTACTAAACTATAGCCCTTTCTAACGTCACCACGAATTAAACTGAGAAACATACATCTTCAAGTGAATTTTACATAAAATGTTTTGATATTTTTAATAAGCCCAGTTATATACAAACCAGTGTTCATTTTGACAGCAAATTTTGATTTAGTTTTAGTTTTAGTCATAGTCTTTTGACTAAAATGCCATTTAGTTTTAGTCATATTTTAGTCACTTGAATTGTTTTTAGTTTTAGTCTAGTTTCATAAGATATATCATATATCATAAGATTTTAGTCGACTAAATCTACAGTAAATTTAGTCGGCTAAAATCTAATGGTTATTGTTAGTGTAATGAATTTATTAAGAATTTCTGTAAAATTTCCAAACTCATTATATAGGTTTGATATTAAGGTTTTATCATGATAGACACCGATTTAATTGCGGTGGCACACAACATGCCTTTATGTTAAAATTAATTAAAACCACTTCTCATAAAGAACATGGTCTTCGTTTTAATGAAATACCAATGGTTATAAAGGCTAATTATGCATTCTTTATAGCAACTTGTTTACCATATTCTTCATTCTTTCAAGCAGACATATTTATTTCTATAAATAGATTTGGATTAATCTTTAGGGCTACTAAAGTTTTTCAGTCAAGAGCAGTGAGTGATTTTCTGTCTTTCTTTTGTTGCTTGATTAACATCAATGACTCGGACAATAGCAACTAAATTAGGCTGTTATCCCTTTAAAGCCAAATGCATGGATTCAATGTGCCGATACACGTTCTCCCTACTGTTTACGTTCACTTAAGACATACTCAACTGTGTTTACGTGAATACTTGTCAAAACGGACAATTCAACATCATTTTGTGTGTATTTCTCCATTCATGCAACGCGAAAGAGTAACTTACTTGTGTGCTGTGATTTGCGCTTTCTGTGTGTGTATGCTTCGGTGTCTGCGCTCAGAAAACCGGACCGAATTGAGCTCTCTCTTGCGTCGTCAGATTTATCTATATGCAGGGCTCCAGACAAAAAATCGAATAAGGAGGGGAGGGGGGGGGGGGGGGGTGTTCACGTTTGAGAAGCACTGGTCTAGAGCAGTGAAGCAGTGAATCCTACAATTGATATTAAACCACTGGTCTAGAACAACTCATTATGTGTAATGTATAGTTAAAATCATGTAATGCACACCTAGCCATGGATTATCTCACTTATACGATGGTTGTATTGTTAGATCTAGCATTCTGCCTGCTTTCAAACAGACACAGAGAAAAATTGTGTGGTAAGATTACATTTATTTGATTGAATTAATTAATTATTGAGTGAGAAAGTGTGTGTGTGTTTGTGTACGTACCTGGTATTCCCTACATTATCCCCACAAGTATAATAATACCAGTAAATTTTTACCTTGTGGGGACATTTATATGGGGAAAACGTATAAATCATATAGAATGAAGTGTTTTGAAAATCTAAAATAGCAGAAAGTTTTGTGTGAGGTATAGGTTTAGGGGTAGGGATTGGGTTAGGGCTAGTGATCGACCGATATTGATATTTTATAACCGATACCAATTATTTGCGTATTTATGTGCCCGATAACCAATATGCAGAACTGATATTTATTTACTGTTATAAAGTAAATAAATGACTGAGTGAAGTAAGTCCATACTTCACTTTGGTTTGTCCTCCTTTTCAGTCATCTTAAAAAATAAAAAAGTGTTGAAAATTACCAGTCTTTCATGTTAAATTTAATCTTCATATTACAATAAAAAAAACATTTTATTTAAAGCATCAGCAGCAACACTAATATTAACAATAAGCAAAATAAATGTAGAAGGTCTAATGTTTTCAAATGGAGAAAATAAATAAATAAAAGGAGTCATATCAACTTCATTTTAAACTACAGTTTTAGTAGGTTTATAAGCGGTTTAATAGGCTTAAGAGTGAAGAATAATTCACTGGATAATGTTAATTCACTGAATAATATTCTCTGGAATATTGAAATATAACAAACAAAACCTTGTATTTTATTGCATTTCTCAACTGGCATGTTATATCAGAATTACTAATAATGTTTTTGTCATTCTAGATTATGAAATGCCTGCTGACAGCGCAGTTTATCTATGCATTTACACAGAACTATACCCAAACTGCAATCGCTCGCGCAGATAATAAATGAATTTCCATAGAGATGTATTTATTTCGATGTTTATTAGCGAAATAATGATTATATAGTAAATGTTAATACAATTTAGGGGTGTTTTAAACAAGTGAATCTTGTTTAAAGTTACATGCGGAGGCCGTGCTGGAGCATTTCCTAAGCATCAACCCGGTGAGTGAACAGCAATATAAAAGCGGCTTCACGAGACTAACGATGAGCAAATATACAACAGAGAGAGAAGTAAATTTAGCGTTTTTATTTCCAACATGCACATATTCATGGCTATATTATTTAATTAATGCAAAGTTACGTCTTTATTGGGAAAGGATGTGACAGATCTTAGCCTACGTGACTCCGCCTTCATGAGATGATGAGCATATAGACAACAGAGAGCGAATTAAATTCAGCACTTTTATTTCCAACATGCGCCCATTCATGGCTGCATATTATTTAATTCACGCAAAGTTACGTCTTTATTGGGACAGGACTTGACGGATTATCTTACGTGACTCCGTGAGTTCGTCTCTATTTCTTCGAGCCAAGCTTCATAAACTGCATATCAGGCATTTATGTAATACATCTAATTTGTGCATTAATGGCTGTTATGTTAAATAAAGGTTTACTAACTACAGTAAATCAAGTACCTGTGCACGCCTGCGCGCAATTCTCAAAACATCCACAAGATGGCGGCGTTTATCAGTGAATCCGATATTACAAAACCGATATCCGATTATTGTAAAATGCTTAAATATCGGGGAAAATATCGGTAAATCGATAATATCGGTCGAGCTCTAGTTAGGGCAGGGGTAGGCAAGTTTGGCCCTAGAGACTCCTGCAGAGTTCAGCTCCCACCCTGGAAAAAAAAAACACCTTCCTATAGCCTTAAGCCGCGGTCACACTAGACTTTTCGTTCCATTGACTTCCATTCATACGCATGCGAATGCGTCAAACCGGAAACGTAAGCCCGTGCGATAAAGTTTTGCATTTCGCTGCGTTCCAAAATTCAAGCTTGGTGAACTCTGGCCTGCGAATTCACATCACATGACACTGTGTGACCAACGGCAGATCAATACGTCACAGCATAACCTTCTATCTGAATGAAAAGAACATAAATTTAAAACTGCAGCGCTGCAGGAAAGTGGAGTAGATTGTATGTTCTTACATTTTAGATGTATTATAATTTGTTACATGTTGAATTTAGATTTTTAAAAAGACGCTGCACAGCGTGACATCATATCATGACCGTTGCAGCATGCAAAACAATTTTGCATGCTCAGAGTCTAGTGTGACCGTGGCTTTAGTAATCCTGAAGACATTGATTAACTTGTTCAGGTGTGTTTGATTAGGGTTGGAGCTGAACTCTGCAGGACTGCGGCTCTCTAGGACTGAACTTGCCTACCCCTGGGTTGTGGGATAGAAAATATAATTAACCTGATAGAAAATCAATGGAAGTCTATGGAATGTCCTCACTAATATAGTTAAGTGTGTGTGTGTGTTAAAAGTGTGTATGTGTGTTAAAAGTGCGTGTGTGTGTGTGTGTGTGCGTGTGAGAGAGAGTGTGTGGGTGTGTGTGTGTGAATTACCTTTGTCTGTACAGTGTCTCTCTACTAATTGGGAAGCTGTGAGTTTACTGTAAATACTTTAACAACAGCAATGTTGCTCCCTCGTTGGTATAATGCAGCAATCCAGTAACCAAGCTATTTTTTTTAAATAAAAGTGTTGCATTCACCATATTTTTCTGTGCTCCTGGATATTTCTGTGATCTCTATGTGCAAGTGATGTGTGTGTGTGTGTGTGTGTATGTGTTTCAATGAAGGCTGTGTATTAATGTAAAATGATGATTAAATTGACTGGAACTACCTGTGCACTGCATGGTTTTAATGCACACTTTCCTCTTTAATATCTAGTATTCAGTCAGACCATGGCATAAGGGTACCAATTCATTCAGTATTCATTACTTTTAATGTAGGTTACTTTTAACATGGGAAACACTTTTTGATCGAAATATAAAATTCAGGTATAGTCCTGAGAACAAAATAATTGTATGTGTACATTGGTCTTCTTTAGGCAGTACCTGGTGGTGGTGTTTAGAGATAAACCTTTGGAACTCTGGGATGTACGCACCGGAACCCTGCTGCGTGAGATGGCCAAGAACTTCCCTACGGTCACTGCCCTGGTACTGTATCAAACTCACAATGTGCCATGTTTCTTATAGTGATTGTTCTTAAAACATTTCATTGTTTTAAACTATGGGTGAAATATGTTTTGGTGACTTGAAATTTCAGCATTTGGGATGATTTTAAAGCACAGTAAAATCTATTACCACATAAGAAAATTGGAAGTCCCTATGTGCAAGTGATGTGTTTTGCGTGTTCTTTAATGAAGGTTGTGCATTGCTATAAAACAGTCATTAAATTGACTGGAACTGGCATGGCCACGGTGAGTGGAGACTGTGAGGATTCTACCTGCCTCCTTCCTCACTCACTGTTTAAAATTGCCTTATTTTCATAACATTGTGCATTTTTTGTGTAAACACATTTGTCACCTTGGAGCAGAATTAAATAGTATTTGTGTTGAAGTGTAAATAAACATGTAAGATATCGTTTTTGTGCCACTTTGCAACTGGAAATAGCTGTGAATTATTATTTTTTTTGTTCGTTTTTTTGAGAAAAGGGGAAAAAAACTTTAGCACCATTCAACTCAGTATGCTCCTCTGAAAATTTAAAAATGTGCAGTTTATTAAATAATCTTAGTTCCCTTATCTGTCAATCACTTTGATGTTGTGTCAATGTACTGGCACTAGGGGTCACACTTGGGAGCCCCAAACACCTCTGATACTTTGAGAAAAGGCCAGTGAGAGTTGGTGAGTGGAATTTGCATGCACCACTCACCCATGCATAAAGGCTGATTTATACTTCTGCGTCTGACTAGGGGTGGGCGATATGGCAAAAAATTATATTTCACAATTTTTTTTTTTTTTAACTATCATGATTCCCAATTTTATCACGATTCTTTGTCATGTTGGTTTTACTATTTTACAAGTTGTCTGAGTATTACAGCCAAACTAATTTCCCAATTATAAAGACAAAGCCTTTCAAGGTAGCAAAATATAAAAAAGAATGGCGCATATTTAGGCTGAAGTGGGTAAAGATAAAAATTGTTTTAAAAAAAGTTGGTTTAAACCTGAATGAGTTTCTTTCTTCTCCTGAACATAAATGCTATTTTGAAGAACGTGGAAAACCAAACAGTCGCTGGTCCACAGTGACTTACATAGTAATTTTTTGCTACTATCAAATCCAGTGTGGAACAGCAACTGTTTGGTTACCTGTAGGGCTGTGACGGTGGCAGATTTTTACCACCGCGGTGGTAATGGACCAACTACCGCCGGTGGCGCGGTGTTGATATAAAAAATATATATATATTATATATATATATATATTAGTGGTGTCAAGATTAACGCAGGCGATTATTTTTTCAGTTTAGCGTATAAAAAATATTTAACACAATTACCGCAGGGCTAGGATTTGCCACGCCACTCACAACTGCTGCTTCTGTCACTTTTTCTCTTGACAAGAAGTGCATTTATTCAGTCGCAAAACGATTGAGAACGGGAGACGTTTCAGCGCGAGTCAAGCGAGTGTGGAAACGGTACTGTGCTCGAAGCTTGTGCTCTTCAATTGCACCACAAAGGCGCCGGCGCGCGCTTTCACCTGTATCCTTTCATATCAAAGCACGAAATAAACTACGTGCATGCAATGCCATGGTCAGTTAAGTCATGAAGTTACCAAAAAGGCGATTAAAGCTGCCTTAAAACTGTGCATGCATGTAATATATTTTATATGAGTCACATTTAAGAACATGTCTCTGAAATGGTTTTCAAAACTGTCCTGGAGCAGCCCAGCACTGTCTCACTCATCTAACACACCCGATTTAACTCGTCAGCTCGTGTTTATTTTAGCACAAAGAAATAATACAGTTAAACAAGAAAGTAGCCTAAATAAGAAAGTTAAATACACCCTGTCTACAGGACACAAGCTGTGTGGCACGACAAAATACTATAAAACTCATTATAATCAGTGATGCTACACTGGATGCGGCACGACACGACATAACAAATCCCCGACAGTAAACTGCCTCGTTCTATTTATGAGGTACTGACACAGAGTTCAAATGTCCTGTGTAGACACTAGACAGACTCAACCTGTTGAAAAAGTTGGTTTAAACCTGAATGAGTTTCTTTCTTCTCCTGAACATAAATGCTATTTTGAAGAACGTGGAAAACCAAACAGTCGCTGGTCCACAGTGACTTACATAGTAATTTTTTGCTACTATCAAATCCAGTGTGGAACAGCAACTGTTTGGTTACCTGTAGGGCTGTGACGGTGGCAGATTTTTACCACCGCGGTGGTAATGGACCAACTACCGCCGGTGGCGCGGTGTTGATATAAAAAATATATATATATTATACACGACATAACAAATCCCCAACAGTAAACTGCCTCGTTCTATTTATGAGGTACTGACACAGAGTTCAAATGTCCTGTGTAGACACTAGACAGACTCAACCTGTTGTGACGCAGAGGTGTCGCGTCCGGTGTAGACATGGTTCACTGTTCTGCTACTGTTATTACACTTGTATACAAAACTTCAGTACTGTCCCTTTAAGACCTGCATGCATGTAATATACATGCACAGCATTGAGACTGAGGTGTTAGAACTGTAACTGACTGAATGTGCGCTGTAGCACGATATTGCGATATTTCTTCAAAAGCAGATCGTGGAGAAGTTTTTATCGTCCACGATCAAAAATTGTCATATCGCACACCCCTATGTCTGACAGAAGCCATAGCCTCTCCGTCGGTTTTCATTTATACTTCTGTGTCATTGTCTGCGTGGACGTGCAATTACACATGTTGCTGGTATAACCCACAGTATCAAGGCAGAAGCTGTAGAAGAAGCAGCTTGTCGGAGAAGCATCAGCCGTGACAGTGGCAAATAAATATCCAAGAACAGATCATTTATTTAAAACTACAAAAAGGAGACGACAACGGAACAGGAGATGGTGGCATTCTCTCAGTCTCCACAAGGACTTGTACATACCATGGCAGAACAACATTGTTTGTCGCGGATAACTAAGTGATGTGTAATGCTATGTTGTATAATAAATAATAAGACACTTGTTCTTTGCTTTGTTCAATTTTAAAAAAGAAGGGAGGAGTTCTAGCAGACCAATCATAGTGCTTGAGGTCCGTGTAGAATAGATGCAGTGTTACATTTTTGGAGAGGTGCACGTCAGGAGCACAGCCTGTGGCATATCTGTGGCTTTGGTTCGACACGGAAGTATAAATTGGGCTTAAGGGTATAAAAGAGATGGTGCACATCTACTCATTCGGATTTGTTCTTCAGAGATTAGCGATTGTTTTTGAATGATCAGTCACAGGGTCAGGACGCAGTGCTTCCCAACGAGGCGACCAATGGCGTCCTACCGCAGATACGTCAGAAATGATTGTCCCTCTGGTACAACTCAAATGGTGTTTGGGGGCCTGGTTAGCACTGCCCAACCCATCACACTGGCTCATCAGGAGAGTCTGACTCAGTTACGCTATTTAGTTTGCCATGCGCCTGCCCAGGTTCAGCTGCAATCCCACTGAAACAATTTCAGAGACTCCTGGGGCATATGGCATCCTCCATGTCTGTAACACTGCTTGGATTGATGCATGTGAGAGCGTTTCAGCACTGTATTCAGACTTGAGTCCCAAGATGCCGTGGCATGCGATGTGTAGCTATCAAACTGATACGTCACCGTACATTCTGCCCTTGAATGGACGTAGTATTTCTATGGGCATGGGTCATTCTAGAACAAGTGTCCAGCCATACTAACTTTCCATATGTAATACTTCTCAGATTGTAAGTCTATGTGATGTATTCTCTATGAGAAGATATGGCCTCCATAGTGTTCTTTTTTCTGCACAGAGAATGGAACAATTCCTCTGTGCTAAAAGATAGAGAGAGGAATGGTCAAAAAACAGCTGAAGCGACCTATTCCCATTGTAAGTACTGTCCTTTTTGTCCCTGCATGGTACAAAGGACTGTACGGCTATTGTGGGGCGTTGGGTAGGTTACGATGTTGCGAATGCACTTTTTACCCAGCACAAAGTAACTTGCCGACATCTGCGGAGCAAAACCTTGTAACACAATACAGTTTCTTGTGCTATTTTCCATAGGGACCCCTAGTGTCAGTACATTGACACAATGTCAAAGTGACTGACAGATAGGGAACGTCTTGGTTACTGTTGTAACCTCCATTTCCTAATGGAAGGAACGAGATGCTGTGTCCCTCCTGCCGCAACACTAAACAACCCATTGAATGGCTCTTGGCTCCTCAGCAGAAACCTAAATGAGTAGATGAACGCCATTTCCATGTATACCTGTATGTATTGTGGAGTGGTGCATGCAAATTCCTCACCAATTTTCATTGGCCCTTTTTGGGGTATTTTTATATATATATATATATATATATATATATATATATATATATATATATATATATATATATACACACACAGGTGTTTGTTTCACAAGTATCACAGGTCTTTGGGCCTCCCAAGTGCCTAGTGTCAGTACATTGACATGACATCTACTGTATAGTCAATAGTAACCAAGACGTTATGTATGTTTCAATGTGACTCATTATAACATTTATTTGTGTAAACAGGAGTGGTCTCCATCACATAACCTTAAAAGTCTGAAGAAAAAGCAGCTTGCTGCCCGAGAGGCCATGGCCAGACAGACCACCCTCGCTGATGCTGAGCAGAGCAGTGTAGAGTCCTCTGTCATCAGGTCTGATTGCACAAAAAGGATAGCTGTCATTGTTTACTGATGATATTGTTGTTCATTCTTCTGCAGAACACAAAAAGAGATTTTGTGAATAATGAAAACAAATAATGACCAGGGCCTGTTAAGCTCCAAAATCTGCATTTAAGCAGCATAAAATTATTATATACAACTTTTAAATTATATTCCAAATCTTGTGAAGTAGTTTGATAATTAAGTTTTAAAGTTAAAGTTTTTGTTTACATAACATATGTATGTGTACTGCTTATTTATGATGTGTATATATAAATACATACGGTATTTATTTTGAAAATATTTAAATGTATATACATTTATAATATTATATTTTATATTATATATAAATATATTTCATATATAACATATATTTTTCTTAAATATATACATGCATGTGTTTATATTTATATATACATAATACATATGCACAGTACACACTTATATTATGTAAACAAACTTTTATTTTGGATGCGATTAATCGTTTGACAGCACTAATAATTAATTAGACTATTTATGAACTTAACACTGAAATTTAAGTTATTTAATGAATATATTCCTCTCTGCTGCAGCTTAAATTTTATTTTTGCTTATGCACATTTAAACTTGGTGGATGAAGATGCTTCCCTTCTGCTGCAAATGATTTTGCAGCAGAGGGGAAGACTTTCAATGAATAACTTAAATTGTAGTCTTTTTGTTTATAAAAAAAAACTTGAAGTGTGACTTCAGAATCAAGACACAAGTTGGATGGACTGCTTTTATTAAACTTTTTTTGTGCTTTTTGCCATTTCAGAGTTCTAAATTTCCATTATTGTTGTATAGAAAATGGTGGACAGTGCATTTTTCACCATTTCTCATTTTGTGTTCCATGGAAGAAAGTGAGTTATACAGGTTTATAGCATTTATAGCACACGTTTCTAGAATTGATTCACTAATCATTGGTATTTTGTTACTGCACTTCAAATGCTTTAGTCTAAGTGGTTTGTTGTTTCAATCAAAACTCTTAACAATACTCTCTGTTGTTTTCTGTCAGTCTGTTGCAGGATGCTGAGAGTAAATCTGAAATGAGTCAGGGCATATCAGCTCGAGAACACTTTGTGTTTACTGACACAGATGGTCAGGTCTATCACATCACCGTGGAAGGCAACACTGTGAAGGATGGGGCACGTATTCCACCTGATGTGAGTGTCCTTCATATATGTTTTGCATCCTGTGTATGAGTTGTTGTTTTATATATTTATTTTTTCTCCTGTTCAATTTTGTTTTGTTTTTATTTACAAAAGTAAACAAAGACTCAAATACAGGATTGACTTGCTCTGTCATACATGATCTTGAAACATTTTCGATTTGGTGTTTGGTGAATTTGTCAATGAAACCTCAAAGGGTTTGCAATTTAGCTTTGCAAAGGTATGTAGGTTTAGACTCACCAAGTATGATTAAATCTCTAGGAGTGGTTTGTTAAAGTACAAATCATGGAAATGACAAAAAAAAAAGCATATCCACCGTATGTCTAACAGCCAACAACTCTGGTGTGAAATTACATGAAATTGTGGGAATTCTAAGAGCATTAAAAACACCTGAAAAGAGTATTAACATTTGATGCATTACCATGACAACAGTATTTAATGGGGTCATATGATGCGATTTCAATTTTTCCTTTCTCGGGAGTTTTACAAGCTCTTGGTGCATAAAGAAGATCTGTAAAGTTGCAAAGACTAAAGTCTCAAATCCAAAGAGATATTCTTTATAAAAGTTAAGAGTCAACCACGCCTTCCTAAAACGGCTTGTTCTAACACGCCCCCACATATCTACGTCACTGTGTGGGAAGATTTGCATAACACCGCCCAAATGTTCATGC